TGTGATGCTGGGAAGATAAGATGTGGTTGGAATATGCCCAAATACCCCTGAGTTTATCCTAATGCTAACTCTAACCTTAACTATAGACTTAATCCTAATCTTAACACTGACCACTAGCCCTAACCCTCACCCCCAACTCCTGCTGCCTAATGCTTAACCCAACTTGAATCCCTAAACCTAACCCCAACGCTAACCCTAACCCTAATACTAAACCATGTTTGTATAATAAACATTCACGTAGCACTTACATTGTACGTCAGACACTCTTCTTCACTATCATTAACAACTTTAGACCTCATAATGACTTTATAAGTAGATAAAATGTTTGGCCTCCAGATAACTTATACACTCTAGACTTCTGAGAACCCTAAATGCATTTGGTCTGTGTGGATTCCATCAATATTTATCCTATTATAAAGTAAAATTTTAGAATTTTAAATATATATTAACTTCTAAATAATACATAGCCTACTAACACACATGGCATACTTTTAAGAGTAACTTTATGTCTAAAACAGAAAAAATACTGTGAAGAGAGGTATTGCTTTATATTTTTTCAAATCTCTTTCATGTGTAGCTTACTAGAATTCAGTTGAATCCTTCTGCTTCTGAATTCATTCTGCTGTGACATATCATTTTGGTGCAGGCACATTAAGAAAATCTGGCCTCATCTAGAAATGTACTAGGAAGTGGAGGAGTTTTAATATTGTTCTCACATAATGGTAATTTTTTTTCTAATATACCAACACTAACAAGTAGTTGTTTCTTAAAGATTAGTTGTAGTGTGAATCTGAAACCAAACCAAAAAATACTTGCTACTATTACATTAAAATTCACAGTGTACCTTACACTTGAAGTCTAACTTTCAGCCATGCTTAAGTTTTTAACATAATGAACTGGGTATTTGAGACACATGTGACCATTTAGTTATGAAGATCATTCAAGTGCTGAAACCTACTGCATTACATGATATCAGAAAAAAATCACAACCATTAATATCACCATTCATCCCATCAGAAATATCTCTTACATATTTGAAAGCTGTCAAGCCAATGGACATATATTTTGTAAAACAATTTAATTTTCACAAGAAAGCTTGAGTTTTTATCACTGGTAACAAATACTGTTGTTTTCCTTAAAGTAGTAGACTTGCTTTGTTCATTGCTGAAACAAGACCTGCCAAATACCCAAGAATAAATAGATATTATTCATCTGATCACTTCTCTTTCAAATAAAAATGATGTCCCATGAAATAAAAATAACTGATTACCTTAAGACTGAAAAGAAAAAAATAGAAATTATTTTTAAAACACCGTGGTGCTTAAGTCTACAAGAAAAATGCTTATACATATTTCCATTTTTAAAAGACAGAATATTTTTAAAGCATACTCAAGATTTAATAACATTTATCATATACAGTTTTGGCAAAAACAGTCTTAAATTGGCTTTTTTTTACTGCAAGTGTGTGGTGGTGAAGAATAACACAATTGTCAGTGCAGTCTAAGGCCACCAGTCTCTCACACAATCAGTTCAATTGGCAACACAGTGAAACATGTGAACAATGTCTGTATTTACAGCCTGAGGTTTTTTTTGTTTTTTGTTTTTTGTTTTTTTTTATTTTGGTTTTTCTCCGGTACCGGGAACTGAACTCACGACCTTGCGCTTGCCAGTCAGGTGCTTTTGCCGCTGAGCTAAATCCCCAGCCCCTCAGCCTGAGTTCTTGAAAGAATGTTAGGGGTCCTCAACAGACTACAGACAACTGTGACTTCATGGCTCCTTGAAACCATTTCAGAGATGAAGAAATTAGAAATCAGAGGTCCTCAATATCACATTGCAGGCTCCAGACTTAAATTCTCTCTCTCTCTCTCTCTCTCTGCCATGTACCACCATGCTTTCTTCTTTACCCTGGCTCATCCTTAGCAGCTTACCAACTATCTAGTTCCCCCTGCCTTACAAAATGAAACACAGAGACTTCTCTTACAAAGCCATCACCTCCAGTTACTATTCCTTTACTCTTTTTGTAGTCAAACATTTTGGAAATGTTATCTCTAAATATGCTGCACTCATCTCTGAATCTTTCCTTCACTGTTCAACCATGATCCTACTCCATGCTGCAGACTTCACTAAAATTACCCCTTCCTGGGCCTCATTTATCTAATGTCAAAATAGCTTCATCTTAACTTCTCAGGTTTCTTGAAACCTCTTGAAATATTTTGGCCATATACGGTTCTGTGATCCCAATTTCTCCTTCCCAATCCTGACTCTTAAATGCTGGCTTTTGTTTTTCTACCATCCCAGTAATGTTAGCTTCTCTGGACTTAAACTGGGCTCACTCTACATATCTAATGGATCTTATCTGTTTGCAAGGTGTTGAATGTGTTCTGAGCAATGATTTCAAAATTTCCATCCATCCCTCATCTCCTGTCAGGTTTGCATACTGAGCGATCTTCTGCATGGATCCACTTTATCTTACAGCATCTGGAACTTAACATATCTGATGTTGAACTCATAATTTCCTTTCTGAAACCTTTAGAAAACATCTTGCCACTCCCAGTGTTCTCTCAGCAAGTGTTGACATCATCCTCCCAGCTGCTCAAGACAGAAATCCGAGATTCATCCTGTTGCTTCTCTCTTTGCCCACTCCCCAAAGTAAATGCATCACTGATGGTATTTCTAAAGAGATAGCTAAGGGAGGGGGCGGATCATCTCGCATAACACCACTACCTGAGGGCAGGCCATCATTCCTGTAGGCTGTCCCTTGTCCTATTCTATTGCATCAAATTTCTAACTGCTCTCTCAGCTATCAGTTTTGCATTTTTTCCATCTCTTCTCCACACAGCCACCAGCAATCCTATGAGCATGTAAATTGAATTCATTCTCTCCACTGGAGGTACACAGGAGATTTTATAAGGAAGTTACTGAAGCAGCAGACTTTCATATAGTAGACAGACGTACTGGACCCCCGTCCTGCTCTCTGATGCTTACCCATCACACTCCAAAGGACAGAGGGGTCAGGAGTCCAAGTCAGGAATGGCTGCAAATTTTCCTCGCAATCCATGGGTGAGGGTAAACCAGATTTTCTTCTGGTGCTGGTTTAGTGTTATTGTCCAGTGAATATAGGAAATGCAAAGATAACTACAACACAGGATGTCCTGATTAGCACGGCAATAAACTCAAGAACCTGAATCTATGGACAAATGGAAGAAGCAAGCAGCTAATTTACCAGGGGGAAGTTCAGAAGTTTTTATTTGAAAAGATAAATTTTGAGCTCTAGAACGTAGGGGTGGTGAGGAGCAGGCAGAGGAGAAAAATAATCCTTTACATTTACTGAATATTGCCAGTATACTGTGGAACTAGCTTATTATATTTTAATAATCAGTTTGTGTGCATTATTTAAATCAGTACCATAACTTAGGGAGCCAGATATTATTATCGTAATTTTTTAGAAAGAAGAAACTGGACTTCAAAATGCAGGAGGACTTTCCCAAGGCCGCACAGCGAGCATCCGTGCAGTGCTCCACCTTACCATGAGTGACTCTGGCCTCATGGTACACAAAGACGTTTTGTGGTGGAAAACAGAGGCATGGAATTCTAGTCAAAGGAACAACTAACAACTTAGAGAGATACGGCAACGGGGCAAACCATAAAACAACCTGCACAAATGAGAAGTTTGTAGTGTTGGCCTTCTATTCTTAATAAGAAGTAGCATCAGCAGATGAGGCCTGAGAGAGCTAGAAAATGATGGTAGGAACCTGGTTGTTTAAATTAAATGGCTGGAGACTGGGGGGTGTTAAATATGTGGTGGTGAGGGGAAAACATTGTCATCAGACTTGACATCTACTTCTGGTAGTCAATCTACAGTTAATACTTCTTTTACATAATTGCTTCTCCGTCATAAAAATATGTTCAGATTATAAAGTTCCTCATGATTTGCCAGAATGTAAAGATCAGGAACATTTAAATTTAAATAGGCTGGCTTTAGCTGGGCTCATTATTCAATCACACATCTGATCATAATCTCTCCTCTTCTCAGTAGCTGCAACATGCTGAGATATTATGCTAACACGTCCCACGAAATAGTTAATAAAAAGCTTTAGTGATGCCAGGCTCCCTCTGTACACAGGAAAACCAAACCTCAGAAAGATCAACTCAATTGCCAGGGTTCGCACAACCAATCCGTAGCAAAACCAAGAACTGAACTCCAATCATTTCTAGGCCAAACAGTGTGTTCTTCTCCTTCACTTCTACCTGCTCCTCAGAACCAAAGCCGACAGCAGCTCTGTCTGCCCTCTCCCAAAGCTACCATCAACACCGTGATTCACTTCAACATGGCACTTCTTTAACACTTCCGTTTCCATTAAAAATAAATAACTTTTGTCTCACTTCCACATTTGGAGCAATGCTTCCAGAACAAAGTACATTTTTGTCCTTAGTCAAATGAACCACTAGCTCTGACTACAGACAGCTGAGAAGCTCCTTCTCATAATTGTTTACCAGGGTTGACCCACATGGTTGGAAGATTGGGCCAACTAGACTCTCCAGGGATTTTGAACTTCTTAGGAGGTATGACCAGGAGTACGGTGAATATGAACATTACAAGTAGATGTTTGGGGTAGCTCTGCAGATAGTAGGGTGCAGCCTTAAGATGATGTGGCTCTGAAGCCACCAGATGTTTGATTTAGCATCTTATGGGGCAGTTCCTATGAAACTGAGGCAGGAACCTGGAATAAAGGCTGTGAAATGGACTCGGACTCAGATTGCAAAGCAAAGGTTCACGAGGTCATCAGGGAATAGGTAGATCACAATAGTGCTCTATAAATTTTGGGTAATTTAAACAGAAATATGAATAGGATTTGTCTTAGTTTATCTTCAAGGCAGAGCCAGAGGTCACAGTTCTTGTGAATAATTAGGGGTTCCCTGAGGTCAAGGACACCGAAGGAAGTAGGACGGAGGCATGATTAGTAATGTTAGGTACAAACTTGACTAAGGGACACTTAAAAGATGATAGAGCAGTATTTTTATTTGTGTGTCTGAGGCTGCTTCTAGGGGAGATCGGCATGAGAGTCAGCAGACTGTAGAAGACCCACCATCAAGCTGGGCAGGCAGCGCCCTCACTGCTGCAGACGCAGACAGAGCACACAGGTAGAGGAAGAGCAAATTTACTCTCTCTTCTGGAGCTGGGGCATTTCTCCCGCCCTTGTACATGAGAGCTTCGGGTTCACCATCTAGACTTCAGGAATTACACCGTTGCCCATCTGCTCTTGAAGAGTCTCAGGCCTCCGGCCTCAGAGTGAGATTTTCACTATTGGCTTCTCCAGTTCTGAGGACTTTAGGCTTGGACTTCTCTTGTTTTGCTGCTTGAAAACACCTAGAACTGCAAAGTAGAGAATCAGAAGAGGCCTGTGAAGTATTCTTTGGGGAGCAAAAGAAGAAAGCAGCATTGACTGTGAAGCAAAATCAGATAGCCCCCAGGCAATGAGCCTTGGCAGGAATCCCAAGGTGTTACCGCCAGAACTCTTTGTCTAAGATTTTTCCACCCCAAAATGATTACACTGCTAAAATTATCAGCACAAACAAAGCAAAGACCTTCTAAAGGGGAGTGAACATTTTATCCTGGGCAGGAAAATTCTGCAGTCTCAGGAGGCCTTTCCTGAACCTTAGAGCCCACCTTGGCCACCGTGGCTTTTGCTGGACCTTCCCGGTTGCCCTGGCTTGGTCTCCTGGCCACCTGGAGCTCTCTCCGCAGAGCTCCTCTGCATGGCCAGAGTTTCTCTGGGAAATCGTCACACCTTCTCCAGTGCCATGTTCATCCTCTATATTTTCTAATACACATCACATTTCACTGGAACTGATTGATCAGATCACTGCTGGGAGCCTCTAGATAGATTAGGAAAGTGACGCTCAAGCCTTCAAATATGGATCCTGGACCCAGCAGCACCTGCAGAAGCTTGAGGTTCATTCTCTCTGGGGTCTTTTGTTATCTCCCTGCTTCAATAATTGTGTGAGCCACTTCCCCTAATACATTCCCTGCCTGTCTGTCAGTCTGTCTGTCTGTCTGTCATCTATGCCACTGGTTCTGTCCCTCCAAGGACAGTAACAACTACTAGAAGGAAGCATTAAGCAAAAATGCAGTTTGGGCTGGAGACAGCTTCAACATGTTCCCACCTGGAAACGTGTGAGCACAAACTGCAACAGGAATTCCAGAGTGGAAATTCAGCTTTGTGTTCTCCTTGGCTGGCTGAGCCGTCCTCGGGGAAGCGTCACCTGAGCGGGGGTGTGAGTAGCTGGGCTAGGGTGCAGCAGGTGACAAAGGGCTCAGAATGGACAGCAAGAACGTCCACTTCAGCTGCAGCTTGCAAAGTCCATCACATGGGATGATCTCAGAAATACAAACTTTCAGGCCAAGCTCAAATATCCTCACTCTCATACTGTGAAATTTAGAATACACAAATCAAGACTTAGATAACTCCATTACTGCCCAAGACCACATAACTAGTCAGTTATTAAGTGCAAATTAAATTTAAACTTACATGGGCTCCAAACCTATGCTTTTGCCTCTATACCAGTGTCTCTCAAACCATGACCTCTGACTACTAGCAATGCATAACCTGTTAGGTCTAGTGACCTAACTGTCTCTAGAGCTTGTCTCCAGGAATTGGAACTCGTAACCAGTTACCTACATGACTGTGACATATTCACTATGATTTCTGAAAATTTCTCATCTATTTCACATTGCTCCTCTAATTCTGACCCTAAAACCAGGAGCCTGGAAAAGTATATGCCCATTTCCGAAGATTCCTTCATTTTGAGATGAGTGACTGCATTCCACAGATGCAGGGACCAGACAGCCACAGGCAAGATGGGAAGAAGACAGGTGCTTGATTAACAATCCCCAAAGCCCCAAGGAAAGGGTCTATGATTTCTTATTACCGGATAGCTTTTGTGGATTCAATTGTGCATCCACAAAATATATGTTGCAATCCTAACACCCAGCACCTCAGGATGTGACTGTTTTGAGAACCAGGTCCTGCACAGGTTTGTAGGTATAATTAATTATGATGAAGTCATGTGGGAGTGGAGTGACTCTGAGCGATCCTACCGGAAAAAGCAAAGACAGAATGACAACAGACACACAGGAAGAACACCTTCTGATGACAGATACAAGACTGGATGTGCATGTAGAATCCATGGACTCAAGAAGGATTCTACCAGTCTGAGTATGACCCCACTGAGATCTTAGTTTTGGACTTCTGGCCTCCAGAACTGTAGAATAAGTATCTGCTGCTTTAATCCACACAGTCAGGGTGGGGGAGCAGTTGTGCGGGGCAGCCTTGGAAAACCAGTATGACAGCAAGTGAAGGTCATTTTAGCATTTTCCTTCTCTGCACTTAATGTCATCTCCACTGTTCCATTTCAGCATCCACAAACTCCAGGCCATGGACCATGAGCAGCAGCAAGGGAAGCTTCACCTGTATTTGCAGCTGTTCAGAGCAGCTCTGTCAAATTTCCAGGTTTTCCTTCAGTTCCTGCAAATAAGGCATTGGTACAATTGCCCTGTGGAAAATGCACTTTGCCTACACCAGGTATGAACCACCCTATCGAGAAAAAATTGCTTGGCTTCATGCTAGATGTAAATGAAGGGTCAGAAGCAGCACCTTCTGATTACCTGTGCCGACACAGATTCAAAGACTGAAGATTGCACTTTTCTCATTTGTCCCCAGTGTTCAGGAGTTTTAAGCCTGACATCATTTTGGGTCCATGTTCTACACACATACTCTCCTTTTGGGAAACATCTCATTGAAACTGTTAGACATGAATTTTTTTATGACATATGACACATTTTGCCCAGAGAGTTCTCTGGTTTGCCACAGCACTAATCTACCTCACAGTGGCTCTCCATAGCACACATCACTGCCTGAGCTCCAATTCCTGTCTGATCAGCAGGGCATTAGATTTTCAGAGGACAGTGAGCCCTACCATAGGCTGAATATGCAAGGGATCTGGGTCATACACTCTCTTGAATCATCCTACCCCTGCCTTCTATGAAACCAGTTTTTGGTGCCAGGAAGGCAGAGAACTGCTGCTCAATAAGGACAGGCTGGGGTGGGAGTGCCCAAGACTGAACATGTGCTCTCAAATTTCAATCCAGAATGACTGCAGGGGACTATTTGTGTGCCTCCTGACATTTTTCCTGCATGGAATATTTTTAAGGTCTCTGGTGTAACCACTGCAAGATTGCTACAGACTAGTATCAAATCACCTCAGCACCAGAAATTCCTGGTAGAGAAAAGGTTATCAGTTTTGGGGGGATGGGTATTAAAGTGTGTGTGTGTGTGTGTGTGTGTGTGTGTGTGTGTGTGTGGACACTTTTGAAACACTGTCTCTGAGTGGTAGCTGTCAGTTACCAGGGCCAAACCTCAAGGCCAGAAACTTCTTCACGTTGAAAGGTTCCTGTGGCCTGACAGAACCCAAGCATTTATAAATCAGAGATTAAAGTTAGTAGAGATTTCAGAAATAAAGCTCAAACCCAACACAATTTGTCATCACAGAACAAACCTGGGTTCTTCTAAAGCCACATTTTTGAGCCTGAATCCCAGAGTGAGTCAGACAAGTTTTTCTTCTTAGATAATAATAGTGAAATTGGGCCTTAGAGGATTATTAGTCAGCAAAACTCAATTTTGGTAAGGCTGTGCTCTAAGAAAGGAAGTGAAGAGATATGAGGCCAGATTTAGGACTGTCAGAGAGCAAGCACTGCAAGGTACAGAGGAGAATGATCCATCTGTGCTTCTCCTGCCCAATGTGAACAGAGAAAGCACAGAAAAGGAGGGATCTGCTCACTTTACAGAGCTCTGTGAGCTCCTTCCAATTGAGAGATCAGCATCAAAACCCTGCCATACCCACTGTGTCCCTGCAAGAATGTCAACATCCACAACTCTACAAACACCAAATGTTGGTGAGGACCCCAGAAGCGGGAGCTCTTATTCAAACAAGGGAAAACGATGTGGTCACATTAGAAGAATTTGGGCTGTTTCTTGTGAAACCAAACCCACTCCTCCCATTCAATCCAGCAACTATGCTTTTTGCTGTTGGCCCCCAAGGAGTTGAAATCCTCTGTCTCACAACAACCTGCACACAAATGCTTACAGCAGCTTCAAAATAATGGTCAAAACCTGAACTATCAAAGTGTCCTTCAGTAGGGAAGTGGATCAACTTGGTGCATATAAATAATGAATATTGTTCAGTGCTGCAAGGAAGTGAGCTATCAAACACTAAAAAGAACTGGAGGAAACATAAACACATATTACTCTGTGAAATTTGAAAAGGCTGCATACTGCATTCTAGCTATACAACATTCAAGAAAAGCCAAAAATATGGAGACTGTAAAAACGCTAGTGGTTCCCAAGGTCTTGAGGGAAGAATGAAGAGACAGAGCACAGAGGATCTTTAAGAAAGTGAAACTATTCTGTATGATACTGTAATGGTGGATACATATCATTATACTCTGGTCAAAGCCAGAGAATGTACGACATCAAAACTGAGCCCTGGACTATGGCCTTTAGATGATTCTGATTCGTCAATAAAGGTCCACTGGTGTATCAAATGCAGGATAGATGATAGATAGATAAATAGATAGATAGACAGATGATAGATAGATAGATAGATAGATAGATAGATAGATAGATCTGAAAAAGATAGGCACTCTAAAAGGACTAACATTATTTCCAACTTTTATTCCCATCCACTGTAGCAGCAGAATCTGCCACACACTGTGCCAGGCTGTGGAATAAAGCCATGAGAAACACCATGGTGCTCTACTGTGTCAATAAAAATGCAGGGCTACCACAGCAAGTTCTGTGACAGAGGAGAGTAGGGATGATGCAGAGATTTGCATACAGATTTTCAAAGGTCTTAAGGACTGAGTGCCAGGCAGGTGAGGCCTAGGGGCAGGCTGGGCATGGGGATGACGAATGGTAAGTGAGAAATCTCAGCTCCTCAGATACATGCAAAGCAAAATTCACCACATTTTTAAAAACAATACAAAATGCAAACTTCCATACAAACGATAAACACGACAAAATTTCAAATACAAAGGGGAATGATATAAAAGATGAGAATGAAGAGGTGGAAAAGTGCCTGAATATGGAGATTATTTTAAAATACAAAATATGAATTTGTATCTTGCAGTGGAAAACCTCTGCATGGGTTTTAGACCCAGAAGTGGAGGATCCCATAACATTTTGAAAATTTCTATGGCAGCAATATGAGAGATGATTTAGAGGGAAAAACTCTAAGGGAGGAATGAGAAAGACTTGTTAAAATACTGCTGCGAATACCCAAGGGGGCATTTGAAAATTTATGGTGCAGAGGCAGAAG